GCTTTATTGCTGATGGGGAGGGGCCCGTTAAAATGGAAAGAGTGAAAAAACAAATAAATGGAAAGGGTGAGAGGGAAGGAGAGGAAGTGGAGGCAATGCTCAACTCTTCACCACGGCCGACGCCTCTCCCCACAGTGCACCCCAATATCGTCCTCCCACCAGGGGTGTGAGCCCGACTCACCACTGATGGATGTGCCCTGGGGACCCCAGCGTGCTGTGCCGTGCCGAGGACCCCTTGCGGCCTCAGCGGCCAGGCTGGCTCGGAGACGCCCTGAGCACACGCAGGAGTGTGGGTTTGTGAGGAGCCTGGCTCAGTCCCTGCAGATGTTTTAATGAGCAGATTCCTCATTTGGATGAAGGTCAGCATTCCCTTGCAGAGGGGGCATGGCGAGCTGTGAGGCACAGCTCCTGAGTGGTCACGTGGACCCCCAGAAACCCAGTCTCTTTGGGGGGGGCAGTGCTGAGGGGCTCCCAGGAATTCTCGGAAATGCCCCACGCGGCTCTGTAGGGAGGGCAGGATTGACAGTAGGGAGGGCAGGATTGACAGCCGGGGCTGCCAGGCCAGCACCGCAGCACTTTGCTCACTCACACCTCTTCCCAGCCTCATTGTATGTGCAGCCATCAGTCTGCAGACCTGACAGATTCCTGGCCGGCCAAGGGCAGGACACCCAAAGGCAGCTGCCCCCGTGAAGGAGCCCCGTGGGTGCTGGGAGGGCTTGGCGAGGGTCGGTAGTAGGCCTGGAGGCTCCCTGCTCTCAGCAGGTATATTTGGGTCAGTGTCAGCTCCTGACTTGCCTGCTCTGCCATTTCATTAAAGAAACCTGCAGCCGAGTGCGCTGTCGTCAAACTCACAGGCTGGGCCTTCCTAAGGCCGAGCCCGGTCCTGGGTGGCTCCGTGGCCACAAGCTCACGTGGTCGCCTGGATGCTGCACCTCTCACTGGAAAGCTCTCGCTTGGCCATGGGGAGGAGGAAGCCAATGCTGACCAAGGGGAGCAGGTCAGGCAGGTGCCCCCACGAGCCCTGCCTTGCTCCCTCACATGATCCACCCCCCTGCAACACCCTCAGGCAGGCCAGGGGCCAGGGCGGAGTCTTGCTGAATGACTGAGCCAAGTCAGACGAGGAAGTGGGGTCACATCAGTGGTTCTCTGGCATCACCTGGGAGCTGGTGAGCAACGCAACTTCTCAGGCCCACGGGGGACCTCATGCCCCCGAGACAGGCTGCTCTGGGGCACGAGGCTGCTCAGGCTCGAGGAGCCCTGGGTGGGATGGTCCCCAGGCCCTTCCTGAGCCGCCTCAGTATCCCTCACGCTGCAGTCTGGCCTGACTGCTGGGCTCCCCACTCTCTCGTGCCTCCTCCCAGACACCTTGGTGATGCAACGCCTCCTGCCGGGCATGCACAACGGTGAGGCATGCCACTGACGGGCAACCTAGGCCGAGTCTGAGCCTCTGCTAGGGCGAGCTGAGGACCCCAACATTAAATACAGCAGCAGTAACCAACAGAGCCCTGGCTGTGCCGGCACGGGCCAGGCCCAACTGGATCCTCAGCAAGGTCGGAGTCAGGAGCCCAGGATTCTCTTCTTGGCTCTGACACTGAGCAGCTGGCTGACCTGGGTGTGTGTGTGTGTGTGCCTCACCAATCTCTCTAGATCACAATGTCTGTAGCGTTACAGCAGTGCTTCGGAGGGATACACAGCAGCAGTGCGCTGCGAGAAGCCAGACTCACGCCAGCTGCACGATCCCGGGCACAAGGGGGCTTGACGGGGTGATGAACACGTCCCGGGCCTATTACGGGGGAGGCTACAGACTGTATATGCATTTGCCAAAACCCACTCCACCGCACATTTAGAAAGGGGAGTTTTACTGTATGTAAGTTAGACCTCGATTGAAAACATTCCTAATAAAATAGGAGGTTGGGCTCAGATGACTTCTAAAATGCTGAGTCTAAACCTTGGATTTCTGGCTCTACATGGGCTCTCTTACAGGGCTATCTGATGACTGCTGGCAGGCGGGGTGCGTGCCAGCCTGTCCCAGTGTGGGCTCCTCAGTTGGCAGCGTGCCCGGTCCTGATTCGGAAGGGACTCCCTGCCCCCGGTGCAGGCAGGACATCCGCAAACCACAACGGATGCTCCGTCTGCTCCAAAATGCAGCCTCTGGGGTGGGAGTCAGCGTGAGTTTCAGCAGCAGCTGCCACACACCTGAGATCCACGGAACTTCGCTAGTAGGTGTCACTATTGTCAGTGGGAGCGGGTGGGAGGCAGTTAACTAATTTAATGAACAAAAATTACAAAGAAGAAAATTACGAGAGGGAGGTAGAGAGACAGCAGCTGGAGTCAGTGACTCCCTGGATCACAAACATACATTTCCGTCAGAGAATCTTTATTTTACATGTTTGCATCACAGCGAGAAGCCATCCCCAACAGCACCCGGATCGGAAGCCCCACCCATCCTGTTTACATAAATGCTCTTCAATGATCATTGTTAAAAAAATACTGAAAGTGCCTTCTGCACCCCAATCTAACAAGGAAAGCAAATGATATGTACAGGCATTGTCTCCCCCAAATGTAACTTGATTCTGGATTCGATGTGTCTGACTTCTTTTGTGGTCAATGACGAGGAAATCCAATTCATGATCTATAAACGCCCCGAGGTCAAGAAAGCCCCTTGTTTGCACAGGGCTCTGGCCCCTTTGGTTAGTAAGTATCTTAAATGCGAGGAGGCTGGCCCTCAGGCCCCGTCTGAGCTGCGCACCACGCACCTTGCCTCAGAGCAGCTGACTCTTGGGAGTGAGTTAGTTTTCCTATTTTGCTTGGACATTTACTGACTTTGTCCAGAACTCCCCCTTCCCAAAGGCCTGGGGAGTTTGGAGTGTTCAGGTCACTACATTCCAGGCGGTGGCAATGCAGGTGGATCCCTTCTTCCAAAATATATTTTTACTGATTTCACAAAAGAAGGGAGAGGAATAGAGAGAAACATCAATGAGAGAGAATCATTGATCGGCTGCCTCCTGCACACCCCACACTGTGGATCGAGCCCGCAACCTGGCATATGCCCTGACCAAGAATCGAACTGTGACCTCCTGGTTCACAGGTTGACACTCAACCACTGACCCACACCGGCCGGGCACAGGTGGGTCCCTTTTAAAGACTTCCTGCCAAACATCCTAGAGAAACAGGAGCACAGAGCAGATCTGAGAACCGCTGGCATGTTCCCACGAACGCCTTTGTGATGTACCAAGAGGCACCGAGTCAGAGCCTAACTTCTTTCGTGGGGAAGCCATTGATTTAGTGACTCCCGAGGGGGAAAGCAGCGGGTCCCAGGCCCCCTGGACCCTGCACATTGTGAACTGGTTCAGAGGCCCGCCAACGGGGAGCGTGGAGTGGAAGGGGTGGAGTTGGCAGCGGGCAGCATGGAGGCTCTGCTGTCCCACCGGGGTATGGAGCAGGGCCAACCTCATCAGACTGCCTGATGGGCCCGGCCCCGCTGGAAGACAACACTTCGGATGGGGAAATGGCCAGATGCCACCTGTAATAACAACGGGCATCGTGTCACTCCTCTGGAGGCTGTAAGGGCCGGCTCCTTGCAGTAGACTCGGAAGTGCCAGGACATACACTGGAATGCAGGAAGAACCCCACATCCGGGCCAAAGCAATGATACACGCGTTAGTACGACCTCCTGGTAAAACTCTCCTGAGCTTAGCCAACGCATCCCTCCAGAGCTTCCGGGAGAAAACGCTGCAATGCACCAAAGCCTGCAGCCTGTATTCCCAGGACCGAGCCTCCGTGGAATCAATAGATGTGGGCGGGGGTGGGGGGGTGAAGGAGGAGGAGAGGGGAAGGGGGGGCAGGCTGTGGAAGGAGAGCAGAGATCCTGATGAGACAGTGTCGAGGAGGAAATCCTGCCACGACAGACACGTGAAGTGGACTTACGAGACCAAGAGCTGCCTGCCTGGCTGGCCGCGTCTAGGGGAGAAAGCGCCTGGCAATTTCACTCGAGTGGTTTCTTGAGGGAAAGCTGGACTGACTCGGGCTGTGACCTGAGCAAGCACCTCCTGCACTCGAGCAGCTTCCCTGGCAGGATGGGCAGCTGCCTCCGGCATCGCGCTCAGCGGCACTGCGTTGCTACTAACATTTTAAAGTCTGGAGGGGCCAGAACTAGGCTGATGGCATCTCTGGCCACTGGTAAGAGCCAGGACTGAGAGACCAATGACCTTTGTTGTGGTCCAAGAAGTAATTTTCTACAAAAGACACGGACTTTATTAAAGGCAAACAGAGCCTGCACTTCCTGAACCTTCCCAGCAGCAGGGTTCCCAGTCCACGGCAGGTTTCGTGTGGGCAGAGCAGGGAGGGAGCACAGAGTGAAGCTATAAACACGAGGGCTCTGTGATGTGCACCCGTCCTCCCCGCCCAGCCGAGACTCTGGGAGGCTTAACCGTGCGAGCTCCGCAGCTCAAGGAGCCGGGACCTGAACTCGGGCTGCAGGAAGGCTGTGGCTGGAGAGCAACTGTGCTTTGGACCCCAGCCAGTCACCTTGACTCAAGTGCCTGCTGGTCCCAACTGTGAAGTGACAGAGAAAGGGAAGAAATGTTCACAGAACAGGACAGACAGCTCAAGTAATTCTGAAAACCTGACCCACCACCTGCCTTCCCGTCACGGGCTGGGTTTGGATGTTCCCTAATCATCGGCCTGACTATAGACCTTCCGTGTTACATGCAGGACACGGGCAGACGTGCTGTGTGGTGGGAAGGCCGTGGCAGCCTGTTTCCAAACCACGGCCCCTCTCCCTGTGCTCCTGCCCCGAAGGGCCAGCCTGGGAGGGAAGGCGGCCCCGCAGGTGCTGCGAGAGCCCAGAGGCTGCTGGAGGTAGGCATGGGCTTTAAAGGACGCCCCGTCCCACAGAAGCCAGCCCTCTGGCTCGGCCCGAATGTGGCTGCTGAGGATGGGAGCTGCGAGGGGCAGGAGGCAGGAGCGGTGCGGGCTGGCCGCTCACGTTCCCGTCCTCCCTGCTCCTCACGCACTCCCTTCCTCCGTGGAGACCTTTCAGGAGGGAGTTTTCATCTCACTTTGGTTCTTGCCAAGAAATCTATGACTGAGTCAAGAACATCTGCTTGCAGGACAAGCAGTGAATGCCCGCCCCCCGCCCCCCCGGCAAGGGAAGCACCCTAAGCGTGGGTTGAGACACTTCTGCAGCGCTGGGATTGTCGGGACAGGAAAATAAAGCTTTAAAGATATCCCCATCTTCTCTACAACGTCCGGCCCCGTCACATAGCTCCAAGTGAAAAGAGAAAGAGAACTGACCCTTAGATGAATACTGAGGCTGTACTTCCGTCCTGGAGACGGGGAGACGCGTGGCCCCGCCCCGAGGACTGCAGAGCAGGACCAGCCCGAGGGCCGGGCCGAGCACAGAGGCCACTGGAAGTGCATGAGGAGGACGCTTCCTCCTCCCGGGCCAGCAGGAAGGGGAAACGGCACAGCAGAGGGAAAACAACTGTTTTTGAGGAAAGACTTCAGGTTCCCAAACCTGGGATATGGAGCCACCCCTAAATCTTGTGGTTTCTGAGCGGCCCTCTAGGCCGGAGGTAAGCAAACCACCACCAGGGACTGTGCCTGTCCGCCTGCCACCCGAGCAGGAGGGAGCCGTCCTGCGTGGCCACGCTCCTAGTGGGAATAATCGCGAAGCCCCCGCCACAACGGGCCTTCGGAGCGGCCGGCTTCCAACCGCTTAGGTGCAATGCTGTTCGCTGGGGGCAGCACCCGTGTCGGTCCCCACGCTCGGAGAGTCCGCAAGGGAACCCGAGTTCCTGTGAGACGCCTCCCGGCCCTGAGCCTAAGCCGCCAGTCACACTTCCCCACACACTGCAGACGCAGACGGGGCAGCTGGCCACCTGCTCTGTCCAGAACCCTCTGGCTCACGGGGAAAGCTTGGTGATGATAATCACACCTCCTTTCCTGCCCCAGCTGCTCCTGAAGGAAAGTCTCCCCTCCCCCAGACTCCCATCACACCAAGTGGACACGAACCACGAGGAGAGGGAACTTTTCTGGATGTTCAAGAAAACCCTACAGAATGCTTTTGAGCTAAAAATATATTTCTGTCCATCCTTTAGGCAACACAGAACACCCTTCCATCAAGAACACCATTCCCCCTCCCCCTGCCCCCCGCCCCGGGCTGTGACACCCAGCCCCACGCAGAGCCCCTTGGAAAGACACCGCTCCCAGAGCTGCTGGTTCCTGGACCCTTTCAGGATCCGGGAGAAAGGCCTGAGGCCACCTTTGGGGACACGAGTCTGGGGCAGGCTCGGCATACTAATCAGTTTTGACCCTGCTTCCTAGAATCACCTAATTTCATTCGTTTTTGTCTCCAAAAGCTGCAGCAACCCTCTCCATCCCCTGTCAGCCTGAGCTGTGATGACACGGATGGTGACTTCCTCCCCACCCACCGTCCATTCTGATGTGCTACACACTGGGGGTCACACTGCACATACCCTAAGAGCTCCCTCCCAATTAAAAATATATAAATCAAAACGAAGTCTTCCTTTTATTCTCTTCCTCGCTACACTCCCTCCGCAGCGTGCCCACCTGAAGGAGAAATCCAGCTGCCTACGACCAGCCACAGATCAGTTTCCATAAAAGAGTAAAAAAAGGGCTTCCGTGGCACTCTGCTCCCAGCGCGCGCTGTGGTGTCACTGTCGGGAAGTGCCAGCTGCTCTCGCTCACCAAGAGGACTATTAATAAATTAAGTGTCTTCGCGGGGCCAGCCTCGAGCGTGCTCCATCACGCGGCGCATTCCCAGTTGCCCTGGGGCTCCACCGAGCCATTGGTCACCTTCTTGACTTTCTTCATGTTCTCCATCACCCCTGACGTCGTCACGCTGCACAGGGAAACAACAAAGAGCGAGTCAGTGGGAAGCAAGGCCGTCTTCGCCACAGCACCTCCCGGGGGTGAAGGGCTGGTTCTGGAGTCAGAGCTGGGCTTGAATTCCGACCGGCTCTGGCCACTATGGAACCTTGGCCAAGGCACCCGAGCTCTCCGTGCTCCAGTACAATAAGCGATCCCCGCTTCCCAGAACTACCGTGAGGGCAATGAGCTCTCCAAAGCGCCCAATCAGTGCATGGCGGCTGTTATTGCTACAATCAGTGCCAGCCTGTCACGGCTCCACGGATTTCCACGTTGCATGCACGTCCTCTAACAGCCACGAGACTGCTCCGTTATAGTGAACATCTGAAAAGAAAGCTGGCCCAAGGCAGACATTCAGTCACCAGCCACACGGAGCATTCTGAGTCACAGGACAGAAGCACGGGTGCGGCGGCCCTTCCGGGCCCAGCCCCTGACACTAGAGCTTTCTGCAGACCCAGGCCCTGGTCCCTGCAGGCTGCATCGTCAGTGAGCACGGTCTCTGCCTCCCCATGCCTCCCAGGGCAGGGTCTATTCTCTGTTGGTCCCTGACACTCAGGAGGGGCCGTGGAGCCCTTCACTGAATCCGTGGATCAAAAATGGAAGCACGGCCCTAGCCGGTTTGGCTCAGTGGATAGAGCATCGGCCTGTGGACTGAAGGGTCCCAGGTTCGATTTCGGTCAAGGGCACGTACCTTGGTTGCAGGCTCCTCCCCTGCCCGGGCGCTGGTGCACGAGGCAACCAATCGATGTGTCTCTCTCACATCGATATTTCTGACTTTCCCTCTGTCTTCCACTCTCTAAAAATCAATGGGAAAATATCCTCGGATGAGGATTAACAACAACAAGAAATGGAAGCACGCTAGCCCTTTCCCTGGAGTGGGGCGAAGCCTCTCGTGTGGTGGGTCCATGGGAAGACAAGATGTGAGCTGGGCAGGTTCTACGGTTGTGTATCTTCGAAGGACACGGTGGCCCCACAGCAGGAGGCATCGAGCAAACATACTGAGCTCCTCCTGGCAGGACTGGTTTTAGGGCAGTGACACTATCTGTATGACACTATTATGGTAGATACACGCCATCACACATCTGTGCAAACCCACAGAATGCACACCACCAGCGTCGTCCCTAAGGTAAACGATGGACGCCGGGTGACAATGACTGTCAATCAGGTTCATCGACTGGAACAAATGCACGGCTCTGGAGGAGCTGTTGCTAATGCGGAGGCTGTGCATGCGTGAGGCCAGGCCAGGACGCTTATGGCAAATGCTGTATCTTCTGTTCAATGTCGCTGTGAACCTAAAACTGCTCTAAAAAACAGCCTGTTAAAACAAACATGCCTGGCCCAGCATCTCCTAAGTCTACGTCCCCGTCACGGACCCACAGGAACCTCCTGACCAATAAAATTAATGCAATCAATCAACTCAACAGACTCACTCCAAGGACCCTGCCCAATCCCCCACCAACTACCCTCCATGTGGCACCCCCAGAGTTTGTCCACGGGAGGGCGCCAGCACGTGAGGAGTCACAGGCAGAGCAGGTGATGTGGGGCTGACTGTGTGACCTGGAGCCCGTGGAGCTGTTCAAGTGACCTGAGCAGATCAAGATGGATGGCAGTGATGCCGGTGGCCACAGCAGGCCTCTGGGAAGGCAAGCCCGGCCGCTGCTGCTGAAGAGTACAAGTCGTCTCTGGGCAGCTCAGCCACTCAGCAGTGAAACGGAGGCAGGAGGTCGGACTGACACCCTGCGGCCGCCCAGGCAGGGACTTTGCAGCTTCGCAGGCACCTCCAGCACGGCCTCATGTTGGTGCCAACACTGAAGGGGGGACAAGAGCTGAAGAGCCCCCATCGGCCCAGCCCTCTGCACGGAAACGGCTCTCAAAGGAAAGGTCTCTACAAGCGTGGGGAGCGGTGAGCAGCGGGATTTTCACCTAAACTCCCACTCAGGGGACAGGCACAGCCTCTGGAGATGCCCAGATCGCAGTCACCGCCACTCACTTCACAGGGAGGTCTCCAGAGGCGAGGCCTGCTCCTCTTGCCCCTGCTCACGCCTCCTTTGCCCATCTAGCGCCTTCGTGTCCTGGCTGGTGACGTGCCCTTCCATGGCTCCAGTGCACGCCTGGACCTCAGGACTGTCTACACCCCGTCCCACTGTCCCCGCAGGAGACTGGGCTCCCGGAAGACCGGGCTTCTGTTCTGGCTGGCGCTCCACAGCTGCCTGTAGGGCACACGGCCAGGCTGGCCTCCCTGGCTGCCCAGCCCAGTGCCCATTCCAGCAGGAGCTGTACTGCTTCCAGTGCCTGCTCAGAGAAGCGCCTCTCTGAGGCAGGTGGCCAGCAGCTGGGGAGCTGAGCTGAGGCCAGGGGCCAGTGCTATGGCCCCTAAGGCTGATGCTCCCTGTGGGATCAGTACAGGAGTCTGTGGAGGACTGGCAGGAGAGTGGAGCAGAGATGCCCGAGACAAGGAGCAGGGAGCTCTGACAGAGACGGAGAGAGCACAGGGCCTAATGCACACAGGCAAGATGAGAATGTTGCTTTAGACACCCACTGCTCCCACTGCCACCCAGGTCACAGTCACATGTGGCGTGAGTAAGTGGCCCATGGACACAACTATTTCTTTAACCAAACTAAACCAGAAACTATAAGCAAACTAGCAATTGCTTTCTGGACTGGAAGGTGGAGGGGCCTGGCTGAGAGACAATCCCGTAGTCTCCCATAGTCCTGTGCCCACGGTAGGTGCCGACCCCTCGGGTGCTCACAGGAAGCCGTCCTGGAACCCACACACACGTTTCCCACTTCTCAAGCTGACAGACATAATTCAGAGCACCCAGGACACGCACAGCACACGGGCAGCTGCTGAGTGCTGAAATCGCAGCCAATATTTAACATGTTGAATTTTTTATGATAAATTTTGTTACCAAAATTGGTCCAAAGAGAGATGTTGAAAGAAAGAGGAAAAGACAAAGTCAGTGTTACCTCTGAGTGCGCCCTCATCGTGCAGGCTCGAAGGGAGGAAAAGGGGTGAAAGCTCCCAGCCCCGAGCCCCTGGGAGAGACTCACTCCCCAGATGCACTCCGCCCCTCAGCTGGGCCTCAGATGAAGGAGTGAGGGCAGGGGCGGGAGAAACTCCCCAGAATCTCCCGGTGGCCGCTCCTGTGCTGCAGCGGTCAGACCCACCAGGAAGAGTGTGGATCTGTTGGGCGCGGGGGCTTGAGGATACTACCTCCTAGAAGTGCTGTTCCGTGACAAGGATCAGACCTCCCGTGTGGATGGCAGAGAGCTCCTGACCTGCTGGGAAACCAGGCACGGGCTCGCTGCCTCTGGCTGGTTGTCTGGGAGGACTTAGGGGTACTGAGCACTCCCACTGCAAGTGGCAGAGGGAGACGACAGCCCGGCGGCTGCCCTGAGCGGCTGCAAGTAGCCTTTGCGCACCTGCAGGGGAACGGGAGGCGGCTGCGCCAGAGCGTCCGGCCCAGCCTGCTCTGCTGTCACGTCTTATAAATTCCTAGAACTCTCTCAGCAGCAGAGTCTTAGCCAAGAGAAAGCCCAGAACAATTTCCTTGCGGATTTAAAGGTACTTGACCTCAATCCGCTCCTAAACGTCTTTTCTGGCTAAACTGGGCTCGCGGTCCCAGGGAGTGCACCACCCTACACAAACCCTTGGCTGGGTTTGCCCCCTCTCCGCTGCTACACAGGGAGAACCCGTTCACTAAGGCACTGACACAGTGTGACCAGAGTACTGTCGCCCTGTGCCGGGTGTAAACGGAGGCAGCCCGAGGACATCCCAGCCTTCCCAAGGCTTGCCAGAAAAAAGAACAGGCTCTCTAGTCCCCATAGACGGCGGTCTGTCTGCCCACGCCCTCTCCTCTCCTCCTGCCTACAGCCGCAGACCCTCTTGCTAAAAGACTACCCTGTCACCAAATATTGTCAGCGAGAAACCAGAACCAAAACAGAACTTTGCCACGAGACAGACCTTCCCAATGCATCCACCCTTCCAGACCAGCAGCTGGCGGACGGGATGTGGGGACAGGAACTCTACATGGCTGGCGAGAACACCAACTGGTACAGCCATTTCAGACCACAGCCCAGTCAAGCGGAAGATGTCAGGAGCCAGCCATTCGGCTCCTAGCTGCCCACCCCAGAGAACCAGCCAGGGTCCCCAGCAGGATGGACAAATCCCCCAGACCTCAGGTTACTTCCTGCTGCTGCTGCTCACCAGACTGGCTCTCACTTGTGCCTCTTCAACCAGTCACTTGCTCAGACCTGCAACTTCCAGAAGAGGCACATGTGATGCTTCTCCTGCCTTCCCTCCACCAACAGGCATTTCTTCCTCTGCACAGGGAGGGGCTGTTTGGAGCCCAACAGCAGGATCTGCCTTCGCTCCTTGTTCTCACAGTGGAGCTGAGCACCAGGAGCTCTCCCAGGCTGCTCACCTGCCTGGCAGCCTGGCAGGGCCCAGTGGGCCAAGGCTCAGCCTTTGAACTGGGAAAAATCAAAGGCCACCCTGGCTGGAGGCAGTGCACCGGAAACTCACCCTCAGGCCAATCCTCAAACACAACCCGCCTGGCCCCTCACAGGTCACAGCGCAATATTCCTAATCACTATTCACTTCTCCGAAGTGACTGCCTTTCCCAGAAACAGCACCCTGGAGGCCCTCACCCTGAGACTTGGAAGCCGGTTAACGCAGATCTAGGTCAGTGGTGGTGCTGCTGCAAAGTGCCACCTGCTATCCGAGGATAAAGGACGTTTGACCTTCACTAGCAGACTTATGAGATTCGGACGATCACATTTTCAGACACAGGCTCCCAATGGCAGGGGCCCAGCAGGAAGAGGGCTTGCCGTCCTCAGTAGTCTGGAACAGACCCAGCATGTCCCCAAGTTCATGCCACCCAGTTACTGAGCGCAGTGTCCGTTTCCTCCTGCTAAAAATAGAGGGCCCACCTCTGGAGCAACCACATGTGCAGCAGCTGCTCCAATTCACACCCTGCTGCTGTGTTAGGCAAAGGGGCGAGGGAGGGAGGGGGGGAGGGAGGGAGGAGATTTCTTACACAGATTCCATTTCCAGGTCATCGTCTTCCTGAGAAAGCTGTAGGTAGGGGTTATCTGAAGCTGGGCGGAACTTGTACCCGGTGAGAACAAAGAACACCAGAGTGGCCATTTCATCCATGAGCTGCAAATTCAAAACCCCAAACAAAGGATGAGCTCCACTGTTTTTCGGAAAGCAGTGGGACTAAACAAGCTGACCCCCACCCCCGCCCAGCAACCTGCCACTCCATGGCCACTCCTCACACGCTGAGCTGGCTGCTAGAGAGCAGTTTCCTCCCAAGCTGTGCTGAGGCCTCAGCCAGGCATTCTGCCCAGAGATGACACCTAAGACTCCTGGCTTTACCTGGAGCGTCCACTGCTATGTTTTAAGGGTCATTATATACTCCCACTTCCTACAGTGCCTACCATACCAAGAGTACTTAAGAGAACAGTCTCCAGACCATTCGATGGCCTGCCCTAGTAGTTAAGCCAGTTCTAGTCACTGCAAAGATGCTTCACTACTGAAATTATAACAATGGGCAAAGGAGAGGAAGGTCTGCATTCTAAGCTACTCAAGTCCTGTAACTGACGGAGACCCGTCTCATCTGGGCTTTAACTGCACAGAGTAAACCTTACTCTCTCTGCCTGAGGCTCTTTTCTTCAAAGACTCTTCGCATTGAACGCTAACATCAATAATGCATCGACCTCCAGATTTCTCCTGCAACCCAGCAGCTCTCCTGGACAGGAGCCGGAACTGCAGCCCGGAAGAGAACGGGGCCTCACTGGGCACTGCCAGGTGCACCATGACTTTAGGTTGCAGCCTCAGGCTGTCTCCGGGACCAGCATACCTGATAGAGCCACTTCCACTGGAACGGAACAGCGAATTTGAGGAAAAATGCAATGATCCTGGTGAAGTATATGTAACATACGATCTAAGGAAGAGGAAAGAAATAAGAACATCAACACAGAAACTTGGCATCACTTTCTTCCGGCAATTTGCTTTTAAATTAACTACAAAACAGACACAGAATGACCCTGCTAGTCACACTGAGAAGGCAGCACTTCTTGCTCGCTGGGTGACCACAGTTCTGGAAACAGCCACCCCCACGGGAGGACGAACATTTCAGGATGGCTGCTGATTTCAACACCCAGGGGTAATATTTTCCCTCCCAGGTTGGGGGAGTTTTCCAGTAGCAACAGCAAAATAAAGCCACAGGAAGTGCTGACTTTCAGTCTCTGCAGCAGAGGCTGGGACGCCAAGGGCCACACAGCACAAGTGCCAATAGTCCTAAGTCCTCTAGCAAGGGAGGGGCTGCTGAGAGTGCGACTCACGGGTCACTCGAGTGTGGCCTGCTCCCCGGGACCAGGAAAAACACGTCCAAAGGGAAGACGATTCAGAAACTTTCTGTTAGGAGTCAGGAAGCAAACTCTAGAAGACCCATACCTTAAATATTCCAAGAAATTATGTTTCTAATAATCTAGAGTAAGTCCCGCCTTTGGTGCTAATGCTTGTATGAGCCCTTCATGTTTGTCTCAGTTCTGTGTTTAGGTGTGACCCCATTTTTGTAAATGAATAAAAAAGTCCCATCAAAGGAGCATCCAATCCTAGGAGAGAACCTAGAGAAAGAGGCACTCAGCTGCCAACAGTGATCACCGAGGGGAGGAGGCGGCTCGGTTCAGAGAGGGCAGCGCTGTGTTTCTATAATCCTGCACTGTGAACACATCAAGCAGGGACTGCTTTTCTGAGTACGTAAAGCCAAATTTAAAACTAAACTTTAGAAAGAAGCAAGCAGACACTTAATTCCCAGACTCAAGGACACAACCTGGAGTGAAGCCACAGCCCCAGGCAGCACCCGCCTCGTGCACCCACCCTCCTGAGGAGCCCATTTGCTCTACTCGTTATGTACAGACTGAGGGGTTTTACTCACCAAGACGTAATAATGTCTGAAAAGTTTCAGCTTTGCTAAGTTAATAGCAGCTAGGGAGAAGAAAGAACAAAACAGAGGCTTGTTAACCTTTCTCAGTCAAGGGGCCGAGTCTAACACAGGAGCAATGCCCGGGGCACATCTGTGTTTCTGGAAATGCCACCGCTGGGCCGGATCTCCCCCAGTCACCAGGAGTCAGGGATTGTGGGGACAGCAGGCGGGGCCGCAGCCCCGGTGCACGGGCAAACCCGCACATTTCCCCAGTGCTGGGTTCAGTAGCTTCAAACCGGCCATGCCAGGAGTATACGGACCCACAGAAACCAGCAGTCGCTACAAACCAGGACCCCTCCCCACCCCAAGCCATCATTAAACATTTCAGCTCTGCCAATGTGGCTGACAGAGCTGCCCCCACTAGGACCAGTCTCAGCTGGGTCCCTGAGCAATCTGGGGGAACCTCCCACTAGTTCAGGGTGTCAATTCAATTAACAGGGGTGCATATTGCAAATTTAAATTTCACTTAGATTTTCAGTAAGTGCCTTGTAACAAGCCCTTAAATACAACCTCCCTGGCTGTGTCCTACCTTCATGCTCAAGGTCAGGGAGCCGGGATAGCTAACTTCCTGCCACTGCCTATGGCCATGAAATATTAATGACCACCGAGGGTAGCCTGGCTCCCTCCCCAATGAGCAATCCTTTCATTCATCATAAACCTTCCTACAAGAGGCAAATTAATTTTGCTTAATAGCACTCACTTACTGGTTCCATTAAGACGGGCCTGTGGATAGTGGAGGTTCGCATTTCCTCTTCCTCCCCCCTCGGCCTCATGATTAGTGGGTGACAATCAAGCTTAGGCTTCCAAAAGAAATTCCCCGAATCCTAAATAATCTTCAAGGTTTTTATCAGCTACCAGTGTCTGTATGAATCTCTTCTGAGAAACCAAATGCACCGATGCAAAGATCAGAAACTCATTCCGGGAAATCCTAACTCCCCGAATGGGAGGCTATCACACCCCTCGAGCCTGCAAAGGACGCGCGCGCGCAGCACATTTGAAGAAGCTCCAGGAAAGCACGCAGATCAGCACAGGCTCTTAACGAGTGATTTCTCTGGCTGCCTTGTGATCTTTTAAATTAAATCTCTCTGGTTCTCAGCCATTTTTCATTCGCTCTGACTCTGGGCCAGGCCCGGGATGCAACAGCGACCATGGCAGCGTGGGCTTTGGCCCAGGGGTGGCTGCCCTTCCTCAGGAAAGAGCCGCCACACCCCGAGGTACACACTCACTTAATACCAAGTGCACAGAGTACCGGGAGCGTGTGCCATGAACAGGTGCTCGTCCTGGCCTGCGGATGGGAGAGGAGTCGCAGAGCGCAGGTATTACACAGGGAAGTGTGGAGTAACGAAACTCCCACAGGTTTAAAGCTTCACTCATTTGTAGGCTCGAGTGTTCCTTTTGTTTCTGTGTGCGTCTCCTGCTCCCCCCGGCAGTGGTCAATGAAACAGCCGCTCACCCACACACCCAGCCAGCCTCCGGGAACAGCCCTCCCCAACAAGCAAAACGGTTCTTGAACACGGACACTCAATCCTCCTCTTCGTGAAGAACTGAGAAAGAACAGCACAAGTAGACCATCTAAATAACAAAAGTGCTTTAAAAGTCTCCTGGGAATTTTGCTTGTTGAAATAAATCCTGACAAATGAAACTCCTGCCCTTGAAGGCTCACCAAGACCCATCAGCCCGAGGGGAGGGGAGGGGAGGGGAGGGGTAGCGAGCTGCCCCCACTAGGACCAGAGCTTTTACTCCCAGATTTCAAGGTGCCGTGAGCGGAACATGCATGGCTGCCACAGCCACACGTGGGGAACGCGCCCGGACCAGGGGCACAGGGTGAAAGAGAGGGTCCCAGAGGAGGTAGTGTCTCAGCAGAGGCCAGAGCAGGGCTCAGTGGGGAACAAGAGTGGTGAGACCAAGTGGAGAGAATGCTCAGGAAGAGCCAGCATCACCCACAGGGACGAGGGCAGAAGCCGGGAGAGGCCAAGAAGCAGGGCTGGGCTGAGAGGAGGCCGGAAGCTGAATCGGCTGACCCCCTTGTTGGCCGAGGGCCCCACAGAGCCTCTGAAGGGTCTGAAGCAGGGCAGGGCCTTGATCACACCTACATTTTAGAACAATCTCTCTGGAGAAAGGATGGACAGAACCAAAAAGGAGCCCAACAGAGGTCGAAACCCTTGGATTGGTGGAGGCCCCTCTAAAAGGCGGTGAGGGATCTCAGTGCACAGCAGTGGGCGGGCAGGGAGCCAGGCTGATCCCGCCTGCTGGCTGGCTGGGGAGATGGAAGGACAAGGCGATGAGGCCGAGGACCAGAGAGAATTCTTCAGGTGAAGTCTGATGGCCCACTCCCTGTCACAGGGAAGGAAAGCAAGAGTGGGGAGAGAGGGCTGGTTGAGAAAGCAGAGGGGTTCTGACAACGTGGGCAGTGAGGGAGGGAGTGGAAGGCGCTGTCCTAACATCTCCCTGGTGTCACATGTATCACCACGTCACCTGCAGGCTGACCGTGAGACTGGCACGAACCACTCTGCACCCAGAGGAGTCATCAGCATGGGCACGGATGCCACGCCATCCAGGACACGCGCTGGGACTGACAAATGGGCCTTGGGAACAACCAGTGTTGTCTAAGAAATGCAGCCACAACAAGCAGAGCTCCCAAACGCACCAGTGTGGCAGTCACATGCAAGACTTCTGTCTACAAGACTGTGGGCCTTGGGATCAGGCTCCCGGGGCCCACATGGGTGTTGTAGTCACAGCTGAGGCAGTGAAGGGAAGGAGGAGGCTTACTCATTGCAGGAAGAAATAGGAGTGGGTAACAGGGCAGGACCTGCCGCCTCCTGGCTGTGTCACCTCAGGGAAGCCTCCTAACCTCTCTGAGTCTGTTTCTCCATCTGTGAAACAAGAACACCAATGCCTGCACTGGGGCTGTTGGGGCAGCAGAGCGAGCACCTGGGGAGTGGCTGAGGCACAGGATCAGGATCACATTAGGATTAACCGGATGGATCAAACACCAAATGTGGCCTTTACTGTGTTCCGGTGGCTGCCCCTCAGGCACAAATCCAAGCTGGAACAAGGCGACCTGGGACTGCCAGCGGGCCCGGGGCTCCCCGGACGCAGTGCTCCCCGGACGTGTGCCCAGGACGCCCGCTCCAGGAGGGACACTTCACCAGCTGAACAAACCAGCACTGATGCAGCAGGACGCAGCCTGGAATCCCAAACCTCCCAGCTTCTTCCAGAAAAGCTTTCCCGGGAGTTCAGAACGCTGACAGCTTGCCGTTCGCTGGCCACAGCGGGCTGGGCCCCGGGGAGTAAAAGGCTCACCAAGTCTGGGCTGGCTATTTCTGACCCACCACGAGGAACAGCAAATATGGTAAAAGAATGAGCATGGCGAGAAGAAAAATGCCTCGGGCAGGAGCCAGGAGACCTACATTCCAGGGCCGGCACCATCACGCAGGGTGCGAGGCCGGCTGGCACTCTCAGCAGCCTCTCCTCATTTGGAGAATTTCTTTATGGCAGTGCTGCTGCTGCTTTTTCTTTCTTTTTTTTAACTCGGTTCATATAGATTTGCGGTGGAGTGCGGGAAACGTGTAAACTCGGGCCGATTGTAACTGCGTATTACCAAATATTTGTTTGTAATCCACCCTTTTGGTGGATGGAACAAAACCAAAAGACAGAGCCATCTTATATTTTGGCGGGAAATTCACCCGCACTCCAAGTGTTAATACACAGGCAGTCCTCGGGTTACGTCGGACTCGACGTATGTCGTTTCGTGGTTACGTTGCCATCTCCCATTTATTTATAAAAATGTTCCGCCCTAACCGGTTTGGCTCAGTGGATAGAGCATCCGCCTGCGGACTGAAGGGTCCCAGGTTCGATTCCGGTCAAGGGCATGTACCTTGGTTCCGGGCACATCCCCAGTAGGGAGATGTGCAGGAGGCAGCTGATCGATGTTTCTCTCTCGTCGATGTTTCTAACTCTCTATCCTTCTCCCTTCCTCTCTGTAAAAAATCAATAAAATATATTTTAAAAAACAAGTTCCATCATTTCGACATATGTGCTTTATGTTTTTTATTATTTATTTACCACAAGTAAAGGTCAGGAATTGTTATCTTTCTTTTAAATTTTTTTTACTGTTTCACTTCATTACTGCTGTGTCTGTGCTCCATGTGAATGATGTAGGTGCTTATGTAGGTGGGTTCCGCCTTATGGCGAAAATCACGTTAGGTCACCGTAGGAACAGATCTCCAACGTAACCCGAGGCACCTACTGTATTTTAATTGATTTCAGAGAGAAAGGGAGAGGGAGCGAGAGAAACATCAATGATGAAAGAGAATCACTGATCGGCTGCCTCCTGCACATCCCACACTGGGGATCGAGCCCGCAACCTGGGCATGTGCCCTTGACTGGAATTGAGCCCGGGACTCTTCAGTCCGCAGGCTGACGTTCTATCCACTGAGCCATAGGGCTATGGCAGTGCTTCTTAACCTCGCGAGCACAGAATCACCCACTTCACTGAAAACCTCCCGGGGAACAGGGAGGAGAGATGGGGGCAGGGAGGCAGAGCATGCGCACCTGCTTCAGGAGCTCCTGCAGGCTGACCTGCTGGGGGATCCCTCTTCCTCCCATCACTCTCAAACAAACGGCCAGATGGGAAAAAAGGGGACATATGTAATACTTTCAACATGAAGATTAAAAAAAAAAAGTATTTTTTTTTGCACGTGCTTTTTAATGACGAGAACAGAACAAATCCCCGCTGAGGCAGAAAGTGCCCAGCCCTTTTGAATGCTAACAAGTCAGTATTCTCTCTGACTCAGCAGCAAAAGAGCAAAGACCCACCATGGGGGGGGGGGGGGCGCGCCTCCCCTTCCCCGGACTGGCCTTTCCTCCCTGAGCCAAAGAGCAGCCCGAACAATGGCGCTGGTCCTCACCACCTACTAGGTGCTAACTGTGTGCCAAGCACTGGGCTGGTCACTGTCTGGGATTCATCTCACTAATCCTCACGCAGCCTCTAAGAGGGAGG